GGGCGCGCCCCCTGTCCCTTTTCCTCCCTGGGCTCTGCTGCCGCGTGTTTTTTAGCTGTCAAAAAAATAACTTTAACCTCCCCCCCCTCCCCCTCTCTCCCCCCCCCCCCCCCCCCACCACTCTGGCTCTATAACTTTTGCTGCTCGCCTCGTTTCGTCTCGTTTTTCTTTGCATTTCTGTCGTGACATTTGTTGCTGTTTCTCTTACCTGCATATTTGCTGTACACTTATTTCGTACTACATTTTCTTCTCCCTCTCAACGGAGCGTATTTTTGTTAGTTACATCATTCCCCTACTCCTCCTTTATTTCGATCGAGTGGTGTACGCAATAATCCCAATGTTCCTAGTTCCTATTAGAGAAATATTGCAGCTCCACCGCCACCACCCTGGCGGCCATAAGGCGCAAATATTTTCCCACCATTAAAAAGTTCCAAGTCCGAGAGAAATAACAACAGAAACGGACGGCTAGCTTGGTTTCGCCGAAGCCTTTAATACCCTACCCTTGCAGACTTGTTTGGCAGACATGCATGAGTTGGCTTTAACTCATACGAGTTTGATCAAATTTGGTTACAAAATATGAAACTGGAAGTCGGTTGGAATATTTTGTATGTGTATCTGCTTCAGGAATACCTAAGTATAAATAAGTGTTAATCACCATGCCTTGTTGATAGGGTATCGAGACAGCAACAGCCATGAGAAACACACTCATGCAACAAATCATAGCCTGCACACACAAAGTGGTCGGCGACACCGTGCGGGCGGGCAGCAGGCGGGCTGACAAAGTGGTAGATCGTGGGGTGGAAAGGTTGGAGGGAGGAGGTAGCCTGCAAAGCACCCACAACACAACTGTTGTTGTTGCTGATGTTTCTATTCCTGTCACTGTCTCGCTGTTCGCCGTTGCCGTTAGTTTGCGGTTAAGTGTGGTTGCCTTTTTCAAAGAGCTTCAACTGTTGTTGTCGCTCTCCCTCTTCCGCTCTTTCAACTTGTTTATTTGTTGTCTTTTGCTGCTGATTTTAGGGGGTAAGCAGCGTTGTTGTTGGTGTGGGAGAGGGGACAGTGTGCAGCAGGTCTGAACTATTTGTGATTTGGTTGCGAGCTCTTCTAAAAGGAAACTTTGTTTGTTATTTTGTTTAGTTTTGGACTGCGTCCACAATTCAATGTCTTTGTATGGTCAAAAGGCGTGAATTAGCTGCAACAACAATGCGGTAGGGGATGGCTGCGTCGAGGGGGGGGGGGGGGGGAGCCTGTTTGGATACCTATTCGTCGTTGACCAGTGCGTGACTTGTGGGCTCGGCTCCAACTTTGTCTCAGCTTGAAGCATTCTCACATGAAGTTGTCGTTGCTGTTGTTGTTGCTTTGCTGCTGCTGCTTTTGGGTCAAGTAAAAGGCACTGCGAGATTGCATTCGGAATTGTCAGACTTTGTGCCAAACTCCAAAACAAATCTAAATTCAGCTCCCAGCTCCCCAACAACAAGCCAGAAGCAGACAGAAAAGAGCGCCAATGAATACCCTTTCCCTTGGTTGCGCCTTTGGCGGGGGGGTGGGGAGAAAGGCTCAGTGTAAAGTTGATTGACTCATGGCTGGCCACTCCCCATTTCCACCCTTTGCCAAAAGAGGGAGCCAGCGCGCCTTAAGCGGTGACAGACAGAAAGCTCTCCTTCCATATTCCCTGTTCGCTCTCTCCGCTCTCTCCGCTCTCTTCGCTCTCTTCGATTCGCTGACAATTGTTGTTGCTCATAACCATCCATATCCCAACCACCAACAATCAAGCAACCAGCCAACAAGTCGCTTTTGACCGGAAACAATTACTAAAATGGCCAAATTGCAGCCACAATTAATTGTTGTTGTGTCGGTCTGATGTCTGATGTCTGATGTCTGACGTCTGACGTCAGTTTTTGCGGCTTCAATGAATGCTTATTGAGCCGGCCCGGCCCCAGCACCGTTGTCGATCGCTAAAAACCGAAAATAGCAAATCAAGAGAACCCAGCAACAATGGCACTCACTCTTCAGATTTATTGTTCGCTGCCGCCTAATTATCAATTCAAGAATCGTTTTCGCACAACAGCAACGGCAGCAGCAACAAATTGGTGGCCAAGCTGTGGGAGATGTGCCCTGTCCATAGGAAGTGCCAGCAGATTAGCGATTGTCCAAACTTGGGAATCCATTTTGGATGGTTAGAAGCGATAATGTAGGTCATTGAGTTCTTGCCATGAAGACATTACATAGGTGTACATACGTTTACATACATATTTACATAGTTGCATACATAATCGAATGTAATCCCATGAGAAAACCCTCTTAAGGATGTTAGTTGAAGCAGACCAAATGGAATGAAAGACAAATCAATCAAAAACAGATATTAAAAGTCATTAAAACAGAATTATTTGTAATGGAAACTCTTTGAAAAATATTCAGCAAACAAATATTGAATTATCCTTTAGGATTTCTGCTTTCCTTCACGAGCAGCTTGGTCTGAAATATTTACTTGCTGCAGACGTGGAAGGGTGTGCTGGGAGTAGTCTGTGGCCACACGCGACGTCTGACCTTTGTCCGCGTTTTGGGCATAGTTCAAACCCAACTGACATCAAGTTTATTTGTGTCCATTTTGGCCGCCCTGAACTCTGCTCTTTGAGTTGAGTTTTGGACGCGTTTTGTACTCCGATTTTCGCTGAGCAAGTCCCAGTACCAGATCCAGTCCCAGATCCAGTTAATTCCACTGGCGGCTTAATGAGCTTGTGGCGCGGCACTCGCTCAGCTGCACATGGCCAGTTTGGGGCCTTAACGCTTGGTGGGTTTAACGCCCATCGGCAGCCCTTACTGGCATCTCCTCCCTCTCTCAGTCTCTCACTCTCTCAGTCACCATATGCGAGTATATATATGGAGCATGGAATGTCCATAATTTATGGCTAATTATTGCTGTTCTCATTTCGCTGTGATTTGGCTCGAAAGTCGGCAGAGTTTTGGTCACTTTTGAAGGAGTCGCGCTCTGAGATGTTTTGCGTGGCCAAGGCGAACGGGATCCGCTGCAGAGCAAGTGCACAAGCCAAAGTACTTATCGTGTGGTTGCCACGGGCTGGCGCCGCACACGGGCTGGGACAGAGGCAGCAGCAGATGTAGTCAGCAGAAAGCGCGCACAGCCACAGCAACAGCCACCGCCAGATGATCGAATGGTGGTGATCCTCCTACTGTCGCCATGCACTTGCAGCCGCAGCAGCAGCAGCAGCAGTCACGCCCACATCCAAGCACAGGCACAGGCACCGCCCAAGCACGATCCTCCACAACCCTCGGACTGCACCGATCGCAGCAGCAATGAGTCCTCGTCGGCATCCACGGGGGACACGGCCATACCGGCCAGCTATCTCCAGCGACAGCATCAGATCCGGCAGCAGCAGCAGCAGCAGCCACCTCGTCCCGTCCTCCGACCTAGTCATAGTCATAGCCATCAGCAGCCAGCCCCTGCCTTTGCCCAGGGAAGATGGCAGCCCGCAAATGCCGTGCCCAAGCCACCGCGCGCCCACGGACACCCGGGAGCCTTTCTGCATCGGCCAGCCATTGTCCTGCGTGTCCAGGGGCAGGCCGTGCCCACGCTATCATTACTGCCCGCCGCCAGATACACTACTAACCACCAAGCAATCACCAATCCCAATCCAAATGCAAATGCAACCACAGCTACAGCCACCACCACTGACTACGTGCGTCACGTGACCCGCGTTCATTTCTACGACATTGATACTTCGCAGGTCGAATTCGAACCCAAAGACGACGAGGAGAGCAACGAGGCAGCGGCAACAAATTGCGATACAGAAGCTATAACCAAAGAAGGTGAGTCTATTTGGTGGTCTATTTATCAGTTCATTTTGTGCTGATCGATCCATCAAATCAATTGGAATGAGCAAATCCACTGACATCACCTTTCAAAGCATTTACCGAACGATCCAGCAGGGCGTGAGATCACAGCTAGAGATGGGGGGGAGCTCCATTACTCACGCGGCAATCGATTGTCTCAAGCTGGGAATCAACTCAATCAGATCGATATTTGAGCAGGTTGGGAGAGGGAGAGGGAGGGAGGGAGGTAGGGAACACCTATGGGAAATGAAAGTGAAAGATCATGAAAGAGAAATCCCTTCCCATATTGAAAATGCAGCAAATTCCTTAACGCTCCCTTGCAATCGCTGGGGGGGGGGGCACCACTTGCGGAAACTATAGAAGGAAAGTCTTGATTTAATTATGTGATTAACATAACACAAAGGCGCCAGCTGCCAACTAGCAACTACCAACAATAAGTCGATTACTGAAAAATGTATGAGCCAGAGCAAGAGTGAAAAACGTGTAAAAAATTACAAATAACAAGCAGCAGCAGCAGCAGCAGCAAAATGCAAATGGAAAAGCGCAGCACTGAGTCTGAGACGGAAAACTGCGCAGATTTCCCACGTTAGCAAATCATTAAAAAAAAATGCAAGCAGCCTGACAAGCCAGCGACGACATTTGCCCATATGCAAACGGACGGAGATGGCTGGAGCGAGCAAAATTATGAGCAAAAATTACAATAATTGGTGCCACACTGGGAAACACCTTCCTTGCAGCAAGCTGCAGCAAGTTCCTTGCCAACAAGTGGAGCTCAAGAGAATGCTAGGAAATGGGTTGACAGCCATAATCGATACCACAATTAGTCCAAAGTGTGTGCAGCAGATCAGCCGAGACCGAGCCTCAGATGTGTAATGCAATCTTTGGCTATGGCCAAATCGTTGCCACAAATCGAGGCTTGTTAGGTGGGCGTGGCCATGCAACATACATAAATTAACATTAGCGTCAGCCCAAGCGCAATCGATCGCATCGAATCGAATCGAACAATGAAAACGAAACCACCGCCACAACCTGCTGCACCACACTCTTCCCTTTTCCTTACCATCCCTTCCCTTCCCTTTGGTTTGCTTAATTGTGATTGCTGCAGTTGTTGCTGCTATTTATGAAGTGCTCTGCAGCAGAGGCAGAGGCAGAGGCAGAGGCAGAGGCAGTTGCAACAATGCGGATATATGCACAATATGCACAAATGATAAAGATAAACAGTCTGGTCAGGCAAATGTACACGAACAATAGACAGGGACGAGACCAGACACAGAGCACTTGCCACAGTAGAAACCCATTTGGGGTGTCGATCAACAAATAAACAAATTACTTCTGAAATCTGATCCAATGAGTCTTAAAGTTCTTCCTTAAGTTTTCTGGAATATAAATTCAATAATTTGCCATAGAAGAATGCATGGAAAGGAACACCCAAAAAATTGTACTTTCAACTTGAAACACAATTTGGAAATCTCCTCTAAGGGAAATCCTTCATCTCTGATATTTTCTCAGCTTACCTTCGACTGTGGTGCGGTCTTCTATAGGCAGTCTTGACTGCACTTTTGTTCGATCGACTGCCCAGCGGATGGGCGATTGCGGGCTGGCTCGAATTTGAAGCTCCCCCCCAGACGCCAGACAACGAGACGTCTCGTTTCGGTTTCTGCTGCTGCTGCTGTTGCTGCTGTTGCTGTTGCTGTTGCTGCTGCGAATGCAGATAGATTATATAAGCGACCTTTAATGGTCCAGCGGCTTCAATGCAGTCAGAGACGGAGAGCGAGCCTAGACGCTGTCGATGCAAAAAAACGCAAAAGCAAAAACTCTGCTTCAGATGCAACAAGAAAAAAAAAACAAAACAAAAAAAAAGAGCAGAAATCTGTGCTTTGCCAGTTGTCGGATGTCCGTGCTCGAAGAGAGCACTTGGCCCACCTCTGAGTGCAGGTTGCCCAACACAGGCACAAACACACACCGCACCAAGTACAGTTAGGCAGAGAACGGAGTGGGACAGAGACTACGACTACGACTGCGACTGAGACTGCGACCGAGACTGAGACTGCGACTGCGAGTGTGGCCGAGAGACCAACTTGGACTTGGTTACGTAATTGGGCGAGCGCAGCTCATGTGCGGCAGCAGATCGCTGAAGCGCTTCAGTCTCAGTGCCTTCCCCCTCCTCTCAATCCAGCCGTTTCTTTTGTTAGAAGTTGCAACTTCCAAAATGGGCTCTATCCACATGCAAATGAGGCAATGGCAGCCTCAACAAAAAGAACTGGAATTGACCAACAACCCAATCAAAGTCCTTTGTGCTTTGATAATAAGTATTGAGACGGAAAAGCTTCCCTTCAGCTTGGGCTTGGTCTGAGCATCGGCTGTCAAAGCCAAACTCGTGTGGAGCTTTCTGTAGTCTTCTTTTGGGAGAGGCTCGAAACTCAAAGCTCTAACCAAAGCTTTTGATCATTGCAGAGGAGTGGATAACGAAGCGAAAGACAGAGCTAACCACGACCAGGCAAATCGAGACGAGAGTGAAACGACAAGTGAAGCTGCAGGATGGCAAAGTCATCGAGGACTCCGGCCCCATTGTCTCCACCAATACCACCGAGGACACTGACAAACAGGAGACGGAAACCACTGAGGTGAGTGCTGGACGCAGCAGTCGGTTCATCTGTTGCCCATTGACGATTCCCCCCCTCTCCCTACAGAAACGCGATCTAGACCTGCCCGATGAACTGGATGGGAACGCCCAACTGATCGATGTGGCAGCCTTGCAGGCGGGCGCTGTTAATGAAACGCAGCTGGCCCAGCTGCAGGAGGCCTTCGGCCCGGACAGTGGATCCGGCGGGAAGCTGGTGAAGCGGATGGTGCCACGTCCCGTGGATGGACTGGTGCGTCAGGTGGACGACAAGCGGGTCATCTCGCATGAGGAGATCAAGGACTACCACGAGACGGAGGATATACGGCACTTGGGTGACTTTACGGATCAGGTGAGTCCCGTAGTATGGGAGGGGTGCAGACAGAAACAGAAGTCAGGAGCCAGGTCCATGCGCACACAGATTACCATGGGAATGTGTCTGTGTGTTGGTGTGTAATCGGAGACAGGAGTGCGGAGAAGCAAAACCGAAAATTGGCGTAAATAACTGAAAATCAATTCGGCGTGAAAAAAGCCACAATGTAGACGGCAGGCGGCAGGCGGCAGACAGCAGCGACGCCAGCTGCGGCAGCGCCACTGGTCACTTGAGTTGAGTTTGTGTTATACTCGTACCCATGGTGAAGGTATTATGACTTGAAGCAGATGTATGCAACACAGCGATTAACTGGATACTGGAGTATACTTGATCACATTCTTAATCAGCATTAACTATTTATTTGGTATCCGCATTTCCATCTTTACGCCTGTGTCTGATCTAGGCAAACTAGGCCCGAGTGAGCCCTAGTTGCGCTCTCTGTGCAAAGGGTATCAATGTTCCGGCTCCCGAAGCTAGGCTTATTTTTCTTGCTGCTTCTTCTTCAGTTTTGTTCGGTCGCTGCCGCTACCTGCGCTGCCATCTCTGCTTCTGCTTCTGCTTGTTGCTGCTGCTTTTAAGCTCATTCGAAAGTTATTGGTGTTGTTGCTGGTTGCTGCTTGCTGGTGGCTGCTGGCTGCATCCCAAAAGCAACTCAAGCTGCGGGCCGCTGCCGCTGCCGCTGCTTGCTGCTGCTTTCAGATCAGTCGCCGTCGAGCGAGCGCCAAGACAACACAACTCGTTTTGCATTTAGCGCGTTCGATTCGGATTCGGGTTCGGAGTCGGCCTTTGCAGTGCCCGTCGTGTATCTCTCTGTCTCTGCATTCGGTTTACAGTTGCTGTCTTTGATTTAGCTAACTAAATGCTCGAAACATTGGATGGTTAGACCGTGTATTACCCTATTGGATATATCCTAACATCTGGCTGTGTTGTTGTTGTAGGTGTGTGTACATTTCTTTTGTTTACAACGGCGCTTCTCTGTGATTTGATTTCGTTAGTTACTGTCTCTCTCTGCTCTCAGTCTCGTGCTCTTCCTCTCGCTTCACTGTTCTCTTCATCGCGAACTCTCTCTGTGGTGGGAGGTGCGTGTGCGTGTGCGTGTAAGTTTGTGTGTGTGTCTAAATTTAACTGTTAATGCGTGGGTTCAGTCCACCTATGGCAGTTGGTTTAACAGATAAGAGAAGCGCCAATTAAGTGCAAAGTGACCAAAAAAAGCGCAAGGAGTAGCAGCAAAAGGAAGAGCACTAAAAGAAGAAGGAGCAGCAAACAAACCATAACAGCAATTTGCATAATCCTCAAAGGTGAGATGTTATCGAATCAGCAAATCAGAAAGAGAGACTCCTAATGTGAATGTGGAATCCAAAGCTCTTGCCCTGATCTAGAGCTAATGCCAACCTAAACCGGTAGTTGGCAATTAACCAAACCAAAACGAAAAAGGTATTTGCCATTGAAGCTGCACGGCAAGAAAAAATAATTTGTTTCAATTTCGTAAAGTTTATGGTTTCCGTATGTCTTCTATATTTACCTTCAAGGTGATGATACATGATCATCTGGAGTGATATTACAAAAATCAAATATGAAATCTGTTTCTTTGTTTTTACGTTGTCCTATCCGAAATATCAATCTGTGCTTTTCAGTGTCTGTTGATGATGATTCTCCTCTTGTTGTGGTCGTTAATATTACAAGAAGCAGTGAAAGAGAGAGAGAGAGACCGAAAGAGAGAGAGTACACTCTTTGGGTTCGGGTTCGGGTTCGGGCTGGGGCAGCTGGTCTGCTGAGCTGCGCAGACCTGTTCTGAGCCAGGTTTAATCAATAGCTGGAGAGGAGTCTCCTTCTGCTTGGATTCTAGGCGTGTCTGCGGCAGGTCCATGAACCTAACCACACACACACACACACACAGATTGAGATATAAACACAAAGAAGAATGGGGAGCTGTGTGTGGAGTGGGCAAGGCAGCAGGGAGGCCACATTCAATTCGTCCATGCCACAAAACATTCACAGAAGTCTGTGTCTGTCTGTCTGTCTGGTGGGGCAAGAGAGGCAAGAGAGAGAGGCCCCCTGCTAAAAGTGTTTGGAATTTGAATTTTCATTTCTTGTATCTTTCGAGTACTTCTTTGCATCTGTGTGTTCCCTTGCCAGCATGTGTGTGTGTGTGTATGTGTGGGGGTACTTGGGCAGCTTGTGGCCCAAACCGAAACCCGTTTCGAGTGAGTCTAGGTGCCCACATGCTAACCCAAAGCCAAAACCAAAACCAAAACCAAACTGAACCGATCCAGGCCCCAACAACTCTAATCAGCAAATGCCAATCAGCAGCTGGGGCAACGGCTGTGGCTGTGGCAGCACCAGGGACTGGCACTGCCACTGAGGCCGAAGGGGGAAGCACTTCACGCAACGGAAACTATAACCAGACCCAGAGTAAACCCCGCTCGGTTCTCTAGTCTGGACTGCCAGACTCGTTCCCAAAGTCGGGCTCTGACTTGGACTCGCAACGGGGCGTTTAACTAAGTATACACATGGATAGATACCCACCCCAGGGAGGCAAGCATTTCTGAACCTTTAAATTATACATACCCTGCATGTACATATGCCCGATCATATAACCAGAAAGTTTGTGGGGTTCTGAAGCCCAAAGAACTACCATAAGACGTTCGAGAAACAGAATCTGCATACGAATATGGTCTGTGCCCGCCCGACTGGGGTTGCCGTTTGCCAATTTGATAAGAGAACCTATTGGAAGGATATACGAGCATATATCCAGAATCGGAGCAGCCCAGAAATTATCCTTTAGATAGTAATTCATATGCTAAGGTTCGAGCAGTTCTGTTGCAAGCGAAGCTCCAGCTGTCCTGCCTGTCGTTTATTTTATATTCAAACTGCAAAGGGTATCTGTGATGCTCTCTCCTTGTGGTACGTCCACTGTTGGAGTGCCCAACGCCCAGTCCACCTCTGGCTGTGGCCCTCTGTTTCCAGCCCGAAACCTCATCATCGACTTTACTATCATTATCATATGGTGGCAGGCTGGAGCTGGCGCGTTGTCGTTGGCGTTGGCGTTGGCGTTGGCCGCCGCGCACACTAACTGAATTACAATAATAATAATCGATCGCCAGCGAGCGCCGTGAGGTTGAGCAACTCCCAAGGCAAACTGGTCTTGGTCTTGGTCGGTGAGCTCCAGCTCCAGCTCCAACTACACCACTCCGCAGAGCCAACTCCACTCCACCCCTTTGAAAATCTGCTCATTTCTCTTTTTTTTATTTTTTTTTTGTTTTAGTTTGTTGCGATTTTGTGTCTTTCATTTGGCTTTGTTTTTTCGACTGTTCGGTTCGGCTGGCCACTTGGCATGCCAGGCAACATGGCCAGCAACAGTCCATTTGAATATTGCTATAGGTATGGGTATGTGTGTGTGTGTGTGTGTGTGGGTATGGTTGTACATGCATGTAAAGTATGTATTTATGGCGCCCTGCCACAGGCCCCTTTGGCCCATCAGGTCCCAGCCAACTCTTTTCGTTGGAAATCCGTTTGGGATTCGTCCAAGTTAAGTCAAGGCAATAAACGAATCAAGTCGAAGATAAATCACAACCGTGAAAGAACGAGTGCGTACTCGATCTGAGGATACCCTGTGCAACATTTTGGAGAATTTGATTTTCCCTTTTTCTTATTGAGTTCTGATGGTCCCTGATATTATTTTTGTTAAGCCAATTCAAAGTCCAGTCTTAAGCCAAAGTCTGCCCTAAACCAATATGCTCATACTCAGTGTGCTGCCCATTAGGTTACGGTATTTTTGGTCAATGACGAACCGCTTGACAATGCTATTAAAAGACTGATACTCGGTAGAGGGGTAAAGTCCGTCTCCGTCTCTGTCTCTGTCTGCACTCTGCGTCACCGATTGATATTAATCTTCGATTGGCGCGGTAACGACAACGACAACAGCTCTTTACCATCTCTATATAAGCATCAGCGAGGCGCCTTCTCTGGCTTTTGCCTTTGCCTGCCAGTGGATCAATCATTGAAGCTAGCAGCGCAGAAAGCCCACAGACACCGTCACACACATTTGTTGTGGCCTATTCGAACATGTTCGTACACTTGCGCTCAAAATATTTTCACACATGCTGCAACAAAACAAATAGATTATTTGGCATCATTGTTAATATTATTAATATTCGATGATTTTCATGCAGAATCTTTCTAACTATGCCCACAGACTTTTCATTTGTTCTTGCTTTAGTGTAATTTTGAATTGAACAATCAGTGCTAATATTTGCACCGCCACTGTGCTGTGATGGCAAATTTCGTTCGAACGATCAATGGGCCGAAGAGTGAACAACAAAAGCCCCAAAGGCGTATCACAAACACACACACACACACAAAACTGTGTGGAGCGGATGCTGTGGCAGAGGCTGAGTTAAAGGCAGGAGTGCGTGGTGTGGGTATGAGGATGGTGACTGAGGCCTGACTGACCATCAAGTTTCAGACTAAAAACAAAAAAGCAGCAACAAAACACTTTCTACGCGCGTTACCGTTTAACAAGGTCGACGACAACAGCAACAACAACCAGTTGTGAATCCACACAGTCAGATAGGTGGACGGTGGGGCGGGTGGTGCTTTGGGTCGAACAAAGCGGTCTCTTCAGCGGTTCGGTTGGGAGATGGCCAGCACTGGTCACCCAAGCGTGCCTTTTGCTTGTCATCCATGCCAGCTATGCGATCCCATTCGACCTTGAGATGTCTATGCTTAAGTGTTCCCTTCTTTAGCACACATCATGCCCATGCCCATGCCATGCCATGCCATGCCATGCCATGACAACCACACCGCACTCCAATGCACTTCACTCCACTGTAACCTTGTCTTTGTTTTGCTCTGCATTAGTGATGGACTTTCCTGCGATTGTTCTGGTGGGCGCACGTAATGTGTCGATGGGTTAATGTGCGCAAGTTGTAAAATCAAAACAATTATAAATTCAATCTATCACTGATCGCTGTTCATTTACATTTATTAGATGTATTTATTTACTAAGATCCAAGGGTATCCAAGTGTCATCTCTTGTATTCGTTTTGCGGCGTTTGCATTCTTAACTTTTACCGCTAACCCAATGACGTTGCCCCATCCATGCTTGAAGCTTGAAAAAGTAAATGGATTTACCGTTGTTGCTCCTACGCCGACTGAGTCTTGCTCTGAATACCAAAGCTCCCAGCTGAAAGCTCCGCTCTGTCTGTGCACTCACTGCAACGCTGGAGAAGTGATGCAACTTTAAGAGGGAAGGCAAGGGAAGGACAGGGACTGATGTTGCCAGAATGTTGCTGACACTCTTACTAAGCAAAAGTTTGTTGATCTATCTTTAACAGACTTACGTGCAGGCAGTGCGCGAGGGAGCGGAGGATCTTGAGGCTGTGCTCTGTTCGCCGGAGAGTCAACGTCAGCTGGTGCCACTGGGGCCGCAGGTGGTGGCCAATCGGAGCAAGTCGCGCAAGACCATTGACTCGGAGGACACGCAGAAGCGTTGTCTGGCGCAGGAGGACGGCACACTGGTGACGGAGAGCAAGCGGACCACCGAACACGAGCTCATACTCGACGACGAGCTGCCCGAGAGGGATGAGCGGGCCCTGCAGCTCGGACTGGCGCAGGAGCAGGTGACAACGACGGCGGCAAATCAACGTTTCTTCCGTCAGCGTGATGAGCAGCATGTGGATGTGCTAGCCAACGGTAAGTTGCTCTCCACCGAGATGCGCTACGCGGCCGAGACGACACAGATGGACAAGGACGGTCCCGGCGAACTGGAGCGACCCGGCGACTGGGACAGCCTCTCCGACCGCATGCGCAAGCTGCGGCGCTCCCAGCAGCAGCAGCAGAAGGGTGAGTAGAGCATCGGGCACCAGCCTAGCCCGTGGTTAATCCCTTGTCCTGCCTTCCCCCTGCAGAGGTGGCCCTGCTGGCCGATCGCAAGGATGCACTGACCAAGCGGCCGCTCGACTTTGATCGCGAGGAGGAGACGCGCAAGGGCGAGACCATGAAGTGGCTGGAGTCGCACTTTGGCAGCGAGTCGACAGCCTCGAACGATTCCCGTGACGACGAAGCCGAGGCCGAAGTGGAGCCCACCAAGAAGAGTTACTTCAATGTGACAATCAAGTCGCAGAGCCAGCCGGCGGCCCACGGTCACTCGCAGTCGCAGCTGAACACCAGCCAGCATCCACATCCACATGCGTCCCAGCATCACGCCCATCATCCGCAGACACTGCCACGCAGTGCAGAGAGGGAGAGGGAGCGGGAGAGGGAACGGGAGAGGGAACGCCTACCACCCGCTATGGCAGTGCCAGCCAGCACCACGCTGGAGCGGAAGCCAGTCAATCAGAGCGGAGCAGCTGGACGCTCCAAGTACTATCAAGGGATAACCAACTGGTCGGAGCGCAAGGAGGCGGGAGCCCAAGTGAATCACTTCTCGTCGCAGGCATTCCGCGAGGATCTCCAGGAGACAATACGCCGCAACGGACTCAAGAAGAAGATCAGCGGTCCCACCTCCAGCCAGGGCTCGGCACTGGGCACGGACAGCGGACTGGCCAAGGACAGTTATGTGAGCCGCGAGGATATACTGCAGCAGAAGCGGCAGAGTCTCTCCTCGCAGTTCCTGGCTCGATCCATGCGCGGCTCACGCGATGCGCTCGACGACTTGGAGGCCATACCCGGGCCGGGACCAGCGCCGGTGCCGATGCCGATGCCGCCACGACCCGAGGAGCCGTCACACAAGCGAGTGGCGTACGGACGTCCGGTGAACGGGATTGCCGCCAGCGGTGGAGCGTTAAATGGACGCGGGAAGAGCTACGAGCCCGTGGCCCCCACGCCGCCACTCAACTCGCTGGCCGCCATGGATAATCTGGGCGGAATGGCCAGGCCCACAGTGCCGCAGCGTCGACGTGCCATCGAGAAGAAACTGGTCGAGCACAGCCATGGCCATGGCCATGTCCATGTGCCTGTCAAGGCGAGCGCACCGCTGCCGTCGGTGGAGCCACCGCCGGACTACTCGCCGCCACCTCGCAGTCGCAGTCGCAGCCGTTCCTCCTCGCCGCAGGTGGACTACCTGATGACACGGCCGCCACGGGAGGTGCCCAGCAGCACGATGACGCTCAGCAGGAAGCAGCAGCAGCGCACACGATTCGCGCCCACGTCCAACTATCCGCCAGCATTGGGCGGAGGCGTGAGCACGGGCACGGGCACGGGCACAGGCACGGGCACCCTCCGTCCAGGGGCCACATCTGCCTCCACCTCGAATCTGTCTGCGGTCAGCGGCAGTGCCGGTGGTGGTGGCGGCAGCGGCCTCAGCAAGCCCAGCCGGATGGGTCAAGTCATTGGGAACTCGCTGCGCAAGTTGGTCAGCAAGATACGTTCGGCGAGCGCAGAGCGCAAGTTCCGCATGAAGTCCGCATCCAGCAAGTCCCGCGAGCAGTCGCCCAGTCAGGCTCATGGCGGAGTCGGTGGCGCTGGCGCTGGTGCCCCGGGGGTGACCACCTATCAGCAGTACAATGTAATCGATGGCCACATTGGCAGCGGACATCGTCACAGCAGCAACGATTCGGAGGATTCGGCCAGCGACAATCAGCACCGACGAGACAGGGAAAGGGAGCGAGAGAGAGAGCGCGAGCGAGAAAGAGATCGCGAGCGGGAACGAGAGCGAGAGCGAGAGCGAGAGCCACTCAAGCCGGAGACACAATCCACGCTAGCCATATCCCACACACAGCCGGGGAGACAGAACTTCAAGCGTGCCGAGTCCGCAGATCCACAGCTGCAGCATCTGGAGCAGACAATCAGTCCACGGCAGCGTTACTACCTGGGCGAGGATCCCTACTCCAGCACTCTGTATGGCAAGGAGAATATCTACGAGCGTCGACCGCGCCAGCGCTACGACCAGCGAGAGCGAGAGCGGGAGCGTGAGCGAGAGGATGACTACTACGAGTCGCGGGCACCGCCGCCGGTCACCTCGTCACATACTTTGGGACGCTACCAGAAGCATGGACAACGCTTCAGCGGCTCCACGCCGAATCTCCATCAGCAGCAGCAGGACTATCGCTCGTCACAGACGTTGCCACGCAAGCTGCACGAGCAGCGCACGCAGCGCTATGGCCCGGAGAAGCCAATGCCGCCTCATGGCAGGTCTACGTCTACCTATGTGACGGCCAGCACAACACCGAGCTCACTGCAGCAGCAGCAGCAACGTGGAGTTAGCCAGGTGCAGCAGGCGATGCCGCAGGGTCCGGCAAAGCCTGCACGCACCTATGCCAAGGTCTTGAATCGTAGCAAAAGCTTCAATGTGCACGGCATGAATGGCAGCAATGATCCTAGTCCCATTTACATTGAGAAGCTGACCAGGAACAACTACAGCGGTGGCGGCGGCGGCGGCGGAGGAGCTGGCTACAGCAATGGCTATCAGCTGCGGCAGGATCAGGGGCTGGGACAGAGCCAAAACTACAAGTCCAATCCGCATTTGTTCGCTGGCAAGGACAACTCATTGAAGAGCGGTCTCAAGAGTCCATCGATTGTCAATCTGATCAGCCGCAGTCAGAAGGATCTGACCAAGATAGCCACGGGCAACGAGGACGACCCGGATCTGCCATATCAGGAGGATAAGAAGCAAATGTACTTGCGTGGCCTGCACCAGCAGGCGCCAGATCTCTATCGGGTCATCCACGGCGATGAGGACTACAGTCCACGCATCGCCACCGCCACCGCCAATGGCCAAAAGTATCCGTTGCAGCCGAAGTACTCGCTGGACTCGCGCTCCCCACCGTCCGTCGAGCTCAACAAGGATACGGCGAGCATTGTGCGGCGCAGCAGCGAGCTGGATGCCAAGCATCAGCATCAGCATCAGCACCAGCACCAGCACCAGCAACATGTCCACACACATCACCAGCATCTGCGACGGGGCTCTGGGGCCACCATCATAGAGCTGCGTAATGCTGCCGGCCATCGAAAATGATTTGCCATCGCCTACCATCGCTCTCTCTCTCTCTCTCTCTCTTCTGTCTCTCGTCAAAGACTTGAACCAAGGTGAATTTATTCAGGTGACGTTATCCGCTGTGCTCAAGAAGACAAGCGCTAGAAAGGGATGCAGCTAGGTGGTCCACCTTGCCAGTAATTTCACCATGGTGAGGAGCAATAGCTTATTCCCCACGCTCTCTCGGCTCTCAGAGAGCCAATGCCAATGCATGTCGAGGCCCGACGTCACTGACTTGCACTACGCAGCCATGTCTCTGTGTCTCTGTGTCTCTCTCTGCCTAACTATTTTGCTGTCTCGCTCGCTAACAAATGCCCCGGCCTTGGCTTTAGTTTCATTTGACAAGCAGCAAATCAAAATAAAAGGCCAACAACCTAATTCAAATAATTGATGGTCACAGAATCTGGACTACAGTCCACACATCGCCACCATTCCTGCTGTCCTGCCACACCACGCCTCTTCCAATCGTAATCTACACTATATATAATATGTTGATTATAATAGTAATGCCTTAAGCTTAAATGCAATATCTATAATAATTCGATCCTTCTTTTTTTTTGTTTTTTTTTATACTAATCTTAACGTTTTTGTTGTATAGATACCGTTGTATGGATAAACTAACTAAAATAACTAATATTAATTCGATATTATTGTACAAGTTTGATTAATAAACAAAAAAACAAAACAATTTCAAATTAAAACTACAATTAAAAATAAAAATAAAGTGCCAAAAAAAAAGAAAAAAACAAAGCTATGAGCTATTTCAATTGCATTTTTGTTCACTTATTTTTTAAAATATTTTTTAAACATAATTAATTTTCAATTAAATATATATAACATCTTCATAGAAACATAATCTGGATTCCCTCAATCCACTCGCACAAAGTTGAGCCGAAATCGGATTCATTGCTCTGCAGTTGTGTACTTTGTAGTCGCGTTAACCTTTTACCTCGTTGCAGTTTAAAATAATAATTATTCATACATAAAATGTAAGCAAAAGATAGGCCTGGTCTGTATGGCACTCTGCCGCTGAGTGCTGCGTTGCAACAACAAACAAAGCAAAAGCGAGTTTAGGCATGGATCAGTCGACGGATCATTCAATAACAGCAGAGCCGAGGTGCAGCCGGCGAGCTATTTGTGGTGCTAGTCGAGCGTTACGGTTCATCCAAACATCCAAACCGAGTGTTAATCTCCGGTGTGGTTGTTTGGGTCGCACAGACTTTGGCATATCGGACAAAAGCAAACTCGATCAGTTGCATAGTTTGTCGTGGAGCGTTAAAGTGCTGCTGGACTCTGGCCATGTTAATTATTTTGTTGCTGTTTAAAGTCCTTGCCGTGCTGGGCGATGGCGTGGGCTGGCCATGGGGCAACACATCCCTGCTGGTGGACATCGTGAGAACTGTGCCGAAGAGCTACAATGCAACGATGAGCCAGTGCGAGAAGGAGCTGTTGTCCCTGAGGGATGCCTGGCAGGATCGCCAATTCTGGGCGTTGAAGGGTGAGTGGAAGGGAAGATCCCACAGATCGATCGATGATCGTTCTCTGATCATTCGCTGAACGAACTCTTGTTTCTTTCAGCTCTGGATGCCTCGGGTGAGGGCTTCTCAAACATCATGCTGGGCCAGAGCAGCTGGCTGGGCAGTCGAGCCACCTGCCGTGCCGTCAATGAGCCAGTGCTGAGGCAACTAACGCCGCAACAGTCGAAGCTCCTTGAGGAGGTGGCACCCTTTCCCTTTGACTACCAGGTGGCGTACATCAGGGCCCGATCACCGTGGCAAATGTCGGTGAGCATCAAGGAAGATCCATTGCTGCACATTGGTCTCTGTCTGCCCCGAAGTTGCAGCACGCCCAGAGTCGAGCAGCTGCTGCGGCAGGCACTGGGCACGGGCCACAGCTTTCAGCGCTGGCAGATGCGTCCACAGTTGGAGTACGCGAAGAAGCCGCAACTACGGTCGGAGTTCTACCGCAGCCGCTCACTCCACCTGCTGCTGGCAGTGGCCGCGGGAACGCTGCTGCTCACTGTGCTGGCCAGCACTGGATTGGCGGACAGTTCCCGCATGCTGGCCTGCTTTCATGTCTCCAGCAACTGGCAACGTTTGCGTCGGGCGGTGAATCCCAGCCAGGAGAACAGCGTCATCAATGGGTTGCGGGTGGGCGCTGCGTTTATCCTGCTGGGCGTGCATGTCATGTGGTACAAGTACTACTCCGTGGACCCATCGCTGGAGATACTCGACAAGCTAGTCACAATGACGATGCAGCACACATATGTGCCACTCGTGGTGGAGGTGTTCTTTGTTATCAGCGGCTACCTCACCGTCACGAACTTCTTGCGGGACGAGCAGCTTCAGCAGAACATTGCACGGGACAGCCTGGGGAGCAATGCGCATCGCTACTGCAGGCAGCTTCTGCATCGCTATCTGCGACTGGCACCGCTGCAGTTTGTCGTTTTGCTGCTGACCACACTCAGCATGGAGTACCAGCGGCAGGTGTCCGTTTTTCACATCACCGATCCGTTGGACGCGCTCTGCCCGCGGCACTGGCACCGCTACTTGCTGTTCATCCAGAACCTTTTTCCCCTCGTTGAGCTCTGCGGGAACTGGACGTGGTCGCTGGCCTGCGACATGCAGATCCATATGCTGGCCCTGCTGCTGCTCTTCACACACGCGCGACACCCGAGGGTGGTGCGCTGGCTGGTTGTGCTGCTGATGGCGGGGAATTTTGGCTACACGGTTGTCATGATGAATGTCCTCAATGTGGCTGGCCATTTCGAGTCGTTCGTAAACACGGCGGAGTGGTTCTACGTTAATCCCATTGTCCGCCTGCTGCCCTACATTGTTGGCGCTGCCTATGGCTATTCGCAGGCGCGTGGCTGCGCGACGCCCTTCGATCAGCTGCTGCCCAATTGGTGGTCCAAGCTGGGCCTGCTCTGCGCTGCGTTGTCGGTCACGCATCAGATTTTCGGCGCGCATCTCTCCTCGCCACTGGTAATCACTATTTTTATGATCCTTTTCCGACTGCTGTTTGCCACAGGCATCAGTCACCTCATCAACTGGGGCGACAATCCGAACGCGAGTGAACCGCGTGCACCTGCGCCCACGCGCTGGCTGCTCGCCCTGCTGCAGGCCAACTCCATGCAGCGTGCCAGTCGCTTCACCTACGCCATTTACCTGCTGAATCCCATTGTTATACTCAACTTTTACTACTCCTTCAGCAGCGGCTTGCAGGCAGACGCCGCCATGATTGTAAGTTCAGACAACACACACCAAGCAAACACTTAAATAATTTATTCTCGATCCATTCCAGTTCCTTCTAACTGTGGCCCACTCGGTGATTTGCTACGTTCTGGCCATTGGACTAACGCTGATAATCGAGACTCCATTCAATAGGCTCTCCAATCTGCTGCTGACCGCCATTTTTGGCAAGGAGAAGAGTCCTTAAATAAATAATTAGTTAAACTTCATCTTATAATTCAAAATGGCGATCAGTGTTCACCAGACAGTGTGGCCAGACTCCATGAGCGGCATATGCCCATAATTTCAAGTTGTCTCTTTATGATTTCTAACTCCAACCAGAATTGCAAGCGAAAATAACATAAAACTAACTAGCTCTTATTTTTTATCGGTTTCATACGAGCATTAATATCTGATTTCTACTCGCGCAGAATTGGGCATTTTTACTTGTGCGATTAGATTAGATTGTATATACTCTTGAAGATCCGATAGGCTGGCCGATATTTTGGGGCGATATCAAAGTAGGTGGCATCCCTAAGGTGTAATGTACACCTCTAGGAGCAGGCGTTTGTCAATTCATTTCCATTTTGAATTCTCAACACGCCACACGTCCCACAAAAATAAATCGGGATGAATTTCGAATTTACGTTTGAAAAATTTCTGGAAACAACTCCAAGGTTCCAATATCCACTTTCGCAGCTAGGTTTTGAGGCGAAAGAGATTACCGAGAAGATAAGTGATACTTTCTACGAAATAAACTCGGATTTTCGTGGCATTATGCTGAATTTGATGGAAACTTGTGAGTTGTAAATTGTAATTTCTTAGCGATGCAACACAGTTTTGGCACACTGTTTCCTCCTAAAGGTACTACTCACTACGATTACAAATTCAATCAGTTTGGACTGGTGCTGAAAATGCCGTTCAAGGTAACCCCGACTGAAGGACGCTACGTGCAAGGCACTTGGTCGCACGACCTGAAGACTGCTGTGAAGCATCCAGTGGTAAAAGGCGGAAAGGTTGATCCCAATTTGTTGAAAAAATCGTTCATAAGGAACTACAAGAGAGCTCTTGGCCACATTGGTCAGCTGAAGAGTGAGAGTGGCAAGAGCTACACCTTCAAGCTTACGTCTGGATTTGCTGACGGCCGGGTAGTATTTGAAATGACTACCTTTGACGCCGGCATAAAGGTTGAGAATCTTCTTTTCAAGTTTCCACTTGCGTTTATTTTTGAGGACGATCCCAGAATATATTTGGGCACTAGGCGCCACTTTACGGTGGTCGAAATGACACATGAGCAGATAATGAGGAATTCTGCACGCCTGGTGTCGCATTTTTTGATGATTCTAACACAAATTGTAGACTTATCTGCTCACCAAATAGAAGACATCTACTATGAATATTTAGTTGTATCTAAACTTCAGAAAAAGACTTTATTCGTGATTACGTGGGAGGTGAGTTCAGTTAATCACTTCGAATTATTGCACTAAGCCAGTTCAATCATTTCAGGTACTTCTTCTCATCAATCACACCCTCAAGCATCCCAATGTGCTGGGCGTCTTGCTATTCCATCTAATACAGTTTAGAAAGACGAACGCCGACGTTGCTGTGTTTTCGGCCTTCCTTGCTAGTTTCATCTCGAATTATAAGCGCGTTGAAGACGTGGATTGTTAAACTACTTCTTAAGTTTTGTATTTATAAGCAGCATTTGTTGTAGCCCCTTTGGGTGTCTCTTTCGCAAATAGAACACAAATATTACAAAGATCATCGCGGGATCAGTGAGCACAGAATTTGGGAGAGTCTTGATGCAACGTTTTGGTGTACTTTAAAGGAATATTTTCGTTTATTTTTATCGAATACATTGAAATGCATACACGAGTTTGATTTTCCTCAAAATGTGGATTTTGTTGTGTTTTTGTTTGTTTTTTTGTCGTTTTTGTTTTATCTTTATATATTACTTTGTATTTGTTTAAATAAATAAGATACATACGTCGTTTAATCATAATAGCAGTATTTATCGTGCAAATTTGATAAGCATTAATAATGGTTTACGAATTGTTGCTCGCTTCTCGCTTTTGCTTTTTGCTTTTTGCATTTGTCTCTTTTACGAAATTAATTTAAATATATGAAAAAAAAATATATATATATTTTTGTTATCTTTCTTTTTCTCTTTTGTATCATGTTTTTTTCTTTCTTTTTTGTGTGTTGTTGTTTTTTGTTTTAATTAGCTGCTCTTTCCTATGCTTGAGTTTACTTTTTCTTTAAAGTAAAAAACAATTTGCGCTTTGGTTCGTCCTTCTGTGAGGTGGCTGGCAGAGTTTGGGATCTGCTGCCCGCCACAGCTGCCGAATCGCTTTGGGCTTTCAGTGAGGTCACCCACTGGGACATTTCGGTATCATCATGGGCCTGCAGCAAGAACTCGGCACCATTGGCGAGCCTGCAAAGAGAAGAGGGCGGAGAGTGCCAATCAGCAACGTGGCTCGGATGAATGATGAATGATGAATGCTTCTCGCTGGTTGTACTCACTTGACGCGCAGCACATGCTTCTTCTTGGTGTAATCACTGGCAATTTCGACAGCAGCGCCCTGCAGATCATAGCTGGGCTCACCGCGGAAGGTCAATTCGGGGTTACTCTTGCAACCCTTCTGATCCTTAAAGAACGAAATGCGTCCGCTACGTGCAGCCATGTAGACCTGAGGGCAAAGGCAACGGCAAAGGATTGTTTATTCTTTGCGGTGTTATTTGTTTGGTTCACACTCACCTTATCCCAGGATCGATTGGAGGACTTCTTGGTGGTCGAGTCCCATTCATGCTTTCGTGTCACATAACCCTCCTGGCCCTCGCCAGCAGCTGGTGTGGCGCCTCGTTCTAAGTAGGAGGAGCAGAGCAATGCCAGAGGTCAAAGATTAGCCAAAGTTTCGATGAAGTATTTCTAGCTACTCGCATGCTACGGTCTACGGGTCTACGGCTGCTCTTTAAATATGATATTGTGATATTATTTTTCGGTACCTGTTTGTATCTCGACAGCGCGCTCGAATTCAACGGCCGTGTCTTTGGCGGCTTCATTTTGTTTTGGTTTTTTGTTAGTTGTTTGTTTGTTAATCCATGGCAATATTTAATAATACATTTTGAATGTTTGTTTTTGGTTTTAGTAAGCATGAGTGAATGATATAGAAACAACATTTTAGAGATCAATTTTGGTCGAACTTGAATCTTGACTTTAATCTATGATTGGCGTAAATATAATTCCTTGTAGGCGGAATGCTTATGCACGTTTTATGAATGGGGAGCAAAATGTCTGTGCCTACCTGTATCATCGTGCGAAGTGCCAACATCGACATCGTCACGCCGCTCAGCCTCACGTTTGGCCAACTCCGCCGCCTCGGAGGCAGCCTTGGCCTCCTGCTCCTCCTTCACCCGCTGTCGCTCAGCCTCCTCGGCCAGCTCCTGGCGCCGCTTCATTTCCTTAAGCTCAAACTGTGAAAGTGAAAGTGAAAGAACATCAAAGTTTAGACAAGTTTTCGGCATTGATTTGCGTGCTCTGCTCTGCGCTCTCTCCACTCACCGTTGTCAATCGCTCAAGTGCACTGAAGCGCTCCTCTTGGGCGGCGGCTGACTTCTCGAATGCCTCGTGCTTCTTGATCAGATTCTCCACCTCGTCGATTGTGTGGCCGAGCTCGGAGGAGAGCAGGTAGGGCTCCTGGGCAATAAGCCAAGCCTCAGCCACGGCAGCATCTCTGGCAAACTGGTAGACCTCCAGGACTGAGCACAAACACAGGAATTGATAGAGAAAGTGAAAAGTGCACAGAAGAATGCTCGAGGATTCCACTTACTCAGCTGTAGATTCTCCCAGCGTTCCTCCCAGCGTCGCAGCAGGGCATTCCGGCTGTTGCTCAGCTGGTGCAGGCGATCCTTGATGTCCGCGGAGGCGTAATGATTGCGCGTGAGCAGCTCCTTGCCCAGCGATATGCAGGCAGCAAAGTTATCCTCGCGCGTATCAATCTCAGCCTTGAGGCTCTGATGATTGTTCATGAGGAGCTCAACGCCGGAGACGTCGCGAGGCTTCTCGGAGGTGTTCATCTGGCGGACGAGATCCTCCATCCAGATCATGAGAATGCGAACCATGTTGAAGAATCGGAAGAGATCGCCGGTGTCGGCTAGCTTCTGTTTGCGTGCATCGCACATGGCCTGCAGATTGTCCCAGGCATTGAGCACCTCCTGCTCGCGGTTGGTAATCTCCTTGGCCTTGTCGCCGGCATAGGCGTCCTGCAGCTTGGCGGACTCCTCCTGGATCTGCTGCACCTGCGAGTAGAGTGTGGTCAGGTCCTGCTGGAAGTTGTAGTGTTTGCGCTGCAGCGTTGACACCGAGCCGGCGTCGCGTCCCAGCTCGTCGGAGACGCCGTGCTGCTTCTCGAGGATGCGGCCCAGCACGTCCTTGCAGTCGTGGAAGAATTTGTGCAGCTCCCGCGAAGCGGCCAGCATCTGTGTGCGCGTCTCAATCAGCTCCAGCAGATCCTGCCACGACTCGTTCAGATTATCCTTCCACTCGGCAATGGTGGCCGAGTCCGAGTGTCCCGCTTGGATCAGGTTGTCCGCAATGCCATTCACCTTGGCCACCCGCTCCCCGCCGACCGCCTCCGTGTCGCGCGCAAACTCATTGAAGCGCTCCGAGAGCAGCGTCACGTGATCGAAGTCCTGGCCCAGCTCCTGGGAGCCCGCGACCACCTCCCGGTCCGTGATCCACTGCTCCAGATCGTCCACCTCGCGACTCAGCATGAACAGCTGCAGCGCCTCGTTGAGTCGCGCACGCCGCTCCCCAGCCAGGTCCTTGAGTCCCGCATAGAGCTTGTCCAGCTGCGACTGCTTGACGGCAACGGCATCGCCGCTGGAAATATCATCGCCGCTGAACTGGCGGGCCACCTCGCCCAGCTGCCGTATGGTGTTGGCATAGTCCTCGACGGACTGCTCGAGGTTCTCGTGCTTCTTCATGAGGTTCTGGGCGCTGATCTCATCCTTGCCGCGATCCTCGACCATCATGTACAGCTCCTGCTCGCTCATCCAGGACTCGGCCTCCTGGGCATCGAAGAAATACTGCTGCACCTTCTCCGACTCCAGCAGATGCTTCTTGCGGTTCTCGATGGCATCCTTCAGCTCCTGCCACTTCTGCGTGAGATCGCTGATCAGCGCCTCGAACTTCTTGGCGTCCTCGTGCCCCTCGTCGATGAGTTTCCTGCCATTGTTGCAGATGGCATTGATGCGCGGCTCATGGTTGTCGATCTCCGTGGCCAGCGACTGGTTCTTCTTCTTCAGCACATGCACATTGAAGAGGGAGTTGCCGTAATCATTTGAGTTGGCCACCGGCAGCTTCTCGTCGATCCACAGCTTCTCATCCTCCACGTCGCGACAGAACTGGAAGGCTTCCTTCTTCTTCTCCAGCTGCTTCTGGCGCTCCATCAGCGGCGCCTTGATCTTCTCGAAGCGCTCCAGCACGGCGGTCTTCTTGACGACAATCGGCTCGATCTGCTCCTCGGGCACGGTCTTCTGCAGATACTCCGTCTGCTTGTCAATCTCCTCCACCTGCCTGGCCTTCACCGCCATTTGGGTCTGGATGACCTGCTGCTTCTGCATGAGTATGTTGACGGATGTCAGATCGTTGGCCGTGTCCCCGCTGACAATTTGCTTCTCCAGATCGGTGATGTACGAGTCGATGTCGTCGCATGTCTGCTGGACGAGCACCTCGCGATTCGCATCGAACAGCATGGCGCCCTTCTCCTTGGTGTGCACCTCGAGGTCATCGAATTGCTTGGCCAATTCCTTCAGCTTGGGCTCGATGACGTCCTTGAACTCGGGCTTCTCGCTGGACAGCTCCTGTGCGGACTTCTCGGCCTCGAACAGGCGCTCCTTGTTGGCCGCAATCTCCGCCTCGAAGGCCTGATGGCGCGTCCACTTCGAGTGGATTGTCTTGGCGCTTCTGTATGTCTCGTCCTGTGACGTGGCGTACTTCTCCTGCACCCACTCGGCCAGCTCCTCGAGGTCCTGCAGGAACTCGTGCAGCTTCACCTGATTCTTCAGCTTCTCGTGCTGATCGAGTGCCCGCTGCCGGTTGTCGTCCCGCCTGCCGGTTATGTTCTCCGCTCGCTTGCCAATCTTGTCCGCATCGAAGTGCTCCTTCTCGACGAGCGTGTCGGCCACTTGGAGCAGCGTATTGATCTTATCATCGTTCGCCTCCATGGTGGTGAGGAAGGCCTCGTGGCGCTTCAGCTGATTCTCCGCCTGCTCGAGATTCACGGGCGTGTCGTCCTTGCTGAGGAAGTGCTCCTGCTGGCTGAGCAGCACCTCCGTCTGGCGGGCATCGCGATTGAAGAGCTGCTGGTCGAGACTCTGCGACAGCAGCACCTGGCGATTCTCCCACATCTGATGCAGCTCCTCCCAGCCATCCTTGAGCGCGTTGAGGCGCTCGCGCAGGAACATGTACTGCGGATCGTCGGAGGTGCTGCCCTCGGAGGTCAGCCGCTCGCCGTACTCCATCATGTTCTTGTAGTCCTCCGTGTAGTTGTCGATCTCCTCGCGTATCGACTGATGCTGGTTCAGCAGCTTCTCGGCCTCGGGCAGCGAGGTGGGCGTGTCCTCGGAGGCCACGTCCGTCTGGGTCTTGGTGAGCCACGTCTGGAAGTGGTCGAGATCGCGCAGGAAGCGATGCAAGTCGCCGGCCTCCTCCAGCTTCGAGTCGCGCTCCTTCAGCATCTGCGTGAGCTGCTCCCAAATCAGTTCGATCTGAGCGATGCGCTCGCGGATCAGCTGCGCCTCCTCCGGGTGCTCG